CAAAATGAACAACATCCTTTCCATAAAAAGAAATTCAAAGCCATCCCAAATAACCCAACAAACACACACACACAACAAAAAATTAAACAGAACTTTATTACAAATGAAAAAAGATAATTTAATTACTGACGATCTTTATTTTTATCTATGTACAACTGATTCACGCACACCACAACTCTATGGCATTCCTAAACCACACAAACAGGACTGCCCCCTACTACCTATACTGTACACTTATGATTCATTAGCTACAATCTTGGCAAATACATAGACTGGGCTCTCACACCATATGTAACATCTGCAGGTTCATTTTTTAAAGATACCTTCAATTTCAAATATACACTAGAACAACTAAATTCAAAAGCCTAAATGGCTAGTTTTGATGTCGTGTCACTCTTCACCGAAGTCCCCGCCAATGAAGCTTGCAATATTGCACTCAACCTCTACATTAATGACCCCAACAAGTTAATGCACATCACCAGCATACTTTTTGCTTCTCTCTTAGAATTTACAATGACTAAAACCAACTTCATTTTCAACAACAAACATTTCCTTCAAATAGATGATTTAAGTATGGGTAATCCTGTTTCACCTGTTCTTGCCAATATATTCGATTCTTGCCAGATTGAAACACAAACCATACATTCTGCGCTTCATCCCCCACTATACTGGTACAGATATGTCGATGACACTTTTGCTGGCTTCATTTCTACAGAACACACACTAACTTTCTTTAAACACAAATTCCATTCATCCCAACATCAAATTTATCATAGAACAAGAAAACAATAAACAGTTATCCTTTCTTAACCTCAAAATTATTAGATCAGACACACAGTTTAAAACCAAAATTCACCGTAAAAACACACACACTGGCCTCTACATCCCCTGGAATTCCACTCATAACACCACACCAAAAATCAATACTCTCAAAAACCTCATAAACACAGCCACAAGACTCTGTTCAACAGACTACATAAATGAAGAAATCAACCACATAAAGCAATCCTTCATTCACACCAATAAATTTCCACCAGCTATTGTTGAAAAACTTTCCAACATTCCCCACAACAAAATTCAACTCACGAACAAATTTGATACCAACAAACCCAACATTACACTGCAGTTTACCTTTTGTCCCTGAAACCAGCTTAAGAATTATCCACACCTGGACAAAACTAGCCATTAAACACAATATTCCTGTCAACGTCAAATTCACTGAAAAACCTGGCTCTAAATTAAAATCATTACTAAACAAAAATTATTTAAAATCACACAATACCAACGTCGTTTGCAAAATAACATGCAATAACTGCCCAGGATTCTACATTGGAGAAACAGGAAGAAAATTGGAAACCAGATTCACAGAACACAATAAACACCATCCCATGTTTCCATCATTGCAACTCAAAAAACATAGTATATCTATTAAAAACACAGTAATTTTAAACAAAGAGCCAAACATAAAGAAACGAAAAATCAAGGAATCCATCTTAATTGAACAAAACAACCCTACTCTAAACCAACACCCTGGGGTGCCAAGATATCTTTTCCAAGTCTTGCAACAGTATCCGGTCATGTGACCTCTTTGTTCCATACTGTGTGTATATATATATATATATGTGTGTGTGTGTGTGTGTGTGTGTGTGTCTGTTTTAATGTAAACTACTTGTACCTGATGATGACAAAACCTTGTCGATACGTTGTACATTTGCTGTTATGTTAAACTAATATTGAAGGTTTTTCTTCAATACCCATTCAAGCCGTCTCCATGCATTATGATACCCATATTGTTGTATTGGTTTAGAAATTTTCATTTACTAGTTGGGGCTTTAACTGGATTGCTTAGATCTGTGCCTACTTGTATAACATTAAATAACATATTTATTAATTTCTAAAAGAAAAATAAGTGGGGGGGGGGGCATTGGGTACATCACCAAGACCCGCTCCTGCTCAAATAACATTGAGTATTGTTATCAATTCCTGAAAAACAAAGGTGACTGGACCTTATAGATCCATGCCTTTTTATTACAACATTAAAGAATACAGTTACACAATTATAAATTAGAAATATAATATAAAAAACAGTAAAATTAGTTTATTTAACTGTTGAGTAGTCAAGAGAGTTGATGATAGGTTCTGCCAGCCAGTTGCTTTCCTCTCTAGTCAGTAGTTTAAAGTTAATGATATTGGCAGAAAGCATTAATAGGTTTGCAATAACAAAAACAGGGAAAGCAAGTTTCAAAGAAAAAAATGTTTAAATGTTTAACCAAATTTCTGCATTACTCTGAAGAGTTTAAACTGTTAACAATGCACTTATATATATCACTGACAATAATGGGTAAATATAAAATAGGTTCATTAAAAATACAAGAAATGTATTAAAAAATAAAATCATAAGAAAAAGGAATTTAAAAGCTTTACATCTACCCATGAACAATAGCATTTATGATTAATATTTTCCATCTATCTATAGTATAGATAGATTAACCAAAATGAAACTATTGCAATAATTAATTGGTACATATAAGGTATATCACCAAATGGCAACATTCATGAAACTAAGAAATCACATAACATCATAGAATACATAAATCACAAAGCCAAAAATCTAATAACAAGAACATTTGGTCAGGAAATGATTTCTAACCATTATTTACAAAGAAAGAAGTAATGTATAACATATCTAAACATGAAAAAAGGAAACCTCAAGTGACAAATAGTAAAACAAGTAAATCTCTGTATTTAAAAAGTTTTATATGGTACATTTGTTTGTTACAACAACAAAGAAACACTATAAAGCTACAATAACTTTAAAGAAACATAGGTGTTGCTATGGAATTCTTACCTGGACTAGTTTAATAATCATATATAGCCAAGTAAACATTGTATGTTCAAAAGCTGTTAATTACTGTAGATCAGAAATATTTTCATCAACTGATTGCTAATGTTGTTAAATGCTACTGAAGAAATAGGTATCAAATTTATCATTTAATGTTTTTTAATTGATATTTCAGTGGTTCAGGATCATTGGTTTGCTTGAGTGCAGCTTTGAGAGCACAGTCTCGAGGTCCTAGTGCTGTGTTCTACAGAGTGTCTGGTGCAAATAGTGTTTTTGGTCTGAAGGTGAGAACTATCATAACTGCTCTAGAAATATAAACAAATCATTACATGCTTTTTTGCCTCTCTCTTTGTTTTTAATTCTAACTTTGTATGTATTTTTACACTACACAACTTTAAAAAAATTTGATTTTCTTAGAGGGCACTAATACAATGAAAGCAATATTCTTGAACAAATATAAAACTTTGCTTGAAATTGCAGTGCATGTGTTAATAATTTTTGAATTAAGTTAAAGATTTTTAGAAGCTATTTTTATTTGCATCAGCTGTAGTCAATCTGTCATCTGTTGATTGTTCTATTATTATCCTATACTCAGATTTATTGTTGTGTTAAAGAATTTAGCTTTAAAGTTTGTTTTTTTATATAAAGTAACATATCATGAGTTAACTTATTGGACTAAAAAATTTTTTACAAGATAATTGAAAAATACAAAAAACAGTTCAATCTTTATTACTTGCACAAGTTTATATTGCAGTTGTGTTATTTTTTCACACATTATTTTGTCACTTAGCTTTTAGCAAAAGTTCTTCATTAAACTATAAAATGTTTATTAGTGGAAAAAAAGAGGGATGAAAAATGAAATACATGCTAGAATACCTTATTTGATTTGTACTTCATTCACTTTAAGCCATTTCATGCTAATATTGACACTTAGAGCTGAGAGGTTAGTGAAATTTTGCTAATCAATTAATCATTGGGCTCATTAATCGATTATTCTCACATGTGTCTAAAATAGGTGGAACATTCAAAAATAATAATAATAATCAGAAACACTAATTTTGGCTAGTTGATTTTTTCCCAAGTCATGTCCAGAGATGGATTGAATACTGGAAATCAGTATTGGAATACAAATACGTCATATTTTTATAAGTACAAAAACAATAACTGGAAAATGCTAAGTAATCGCAAACAAATACATCGGAATGGATTCGCGAATACTTTGTCAGTTAATATGCAGTAATAATAAAACAGCAGACAATAAGATTTCTATACTTTTATTTTTCAAAATGCAATTTTTTTTTATTTTTATTTTTTCAAATTTGGTACGCTGATAGATCTTTTCAACCTACAATTAGGAGTCTCATTTGATGTAAATATAAGCCACATGTGCAAATTTATTCAACAGAAACCTCTCAAATCTGACAAAATATTTTGTGCACATCCATGCAAAAAGTCACGTGAGCTTCACCTAATTATAAAAGTGCACTCTTTTTAGTTTTTTGCCACTCAGATTAAAGCAGCAAAACTATAAGGTGAAAGGACATGCAGATACACAAGTATTGGTTAGGCGAAGCAAACTAGATTAGCAGTTTCTAGCCCAAGTTTTCAAAAGAATTGTACAGGTGGATGGTTATTAATGATTATTGATTGATAACTTTTCAGCACAAATTTACTAAATTTTATAAAATTATATTAATTAAAGAGTGTTTAGCATCACATGCTATTAGCTTAAGCAATTAGCATAAATAACGATGCTTGATATGGCTGTACCGATTACATGGGGATGATGACAAGAAACTTAATCTAAATTCCATGCATTACTGTAAAGGAAGCTATTAACACTTTTAGAGAGGAGGAACTACTACCATATATTTTAAAGAATCTGGTTAGTTCTATAATGTAAAGGTCTGTTTGGTTCTGTAAAGTACAGGGCTGTTCTGAATAATATGGTTGCGATTCTAAAGCTAATGTGGGTTACTATTGAGTGACACTTTTTACTTGCTGTAGTTTGTTGGTGTGTATTGACAAAAAAGTCATGATATCTAATATAAAAACACCTTAGATGTGAAAAAAGGTGCACCCAAAAATGGATTGAGTGTGCCCCAAGTAGAACAAAAAATGTTGTTTGGCTAACTAATGAATGAATATTTGCTGTAAAATTCTTATTGATGCTATAAGTGTAGCTACCAGTTTGGCTGCCAATATTGATTTCATTCCTTTAAATCAGACACTAAATCCTTTTTGGCTGCCCCTTTTTTTGTCACACCTAAAGTGTTTTTGATTAGATTGAAATTATATCTGGACTACATGCTGTCAATCTCAGTAATCAGCCCATAAACACGTGGCACTACATAACTGGGGGAAACAATGTTCTGACCCTGGATGAAATCTGTTGTCTCTTCAAAAAGTGTCAGCATTGTCTCCAAATCTGCAAGCACAGCTCAATCACAAAAATAACTTTCGAAGTACCAGTATCTAGATGATCCAACTTCTCCTGGGGAATCTTCAATAAAGACTTAATCATCTTAATTTCTGAGTTCCATCGAGTTGGTGTTACTGACTGAACTCCGCCATCTCCCTCAAGAAGATCAGTTGCTTCCATTGATTTTTGAATTTAGGACAGGATGGCTGATGCTTTGTTAATTAGTTTCAGCAGTAATCCAGTTTTTTTCATGCCATCCCTGACCACAAGCTGTGGCATGTGGGAAAAGCAGGGGTCATGTTCAGGAATAGATTTGGATATATTGTCAGCTGATTTAGATTCATCCAAAAGTTGATCTTCTGAGTCACTATCTGTAGATGAGTTATTACAATCTGTTATGCTAGGTAGTGTTTGCAGTTCAAATGCAGGCAAGCAGAATGACTTGATCATGTTGGATGCATTATCAGATATCACATATAACACGTATTAACCCTATTGCCATGGGTATCCATTACTATGCATGACAAAAGGTTTTAGTGTCTTACATTCAAAATTTTATTAAACTATTTTTTGTTTATGTCATACCAATTAGAATAGCATAAAATTTTAGCTGATAATCCATATTTTAATAGTAAAGAAGTTTTAAGTTCTTAATTCTACAGGGCAATATTTAAAAAAATTTCTGAATTTTCCCTAGTGTGAAAAATATGACTTTTTTTTCACTAGGCTTCTTCTCTAATTTATTTACCACCCCTCCAAGAAGTACGAAATTTAACATAAATTACTTACTATAATATTGTCATTGCTCATGTAAAGCATAATATTCCTAGCCTTCAAATTTGTTTGGTTACATAGCTGTCAAATAGAAAGTCAGACCCCATTTGATACACCCACCTGTCAGGATTTGTTAGTAGTTCTCTCTGATGTTCAATACTATATTATTTATAACCAATAGTAAACAATGGTTTTCATCTATTAAATGACATATTACATTGTTTTATGTACAGAAAAGTGTTGATTTCTCTTTCAGTACAAACTTCGTTCCCATGGGAAAGTTTCTTGTAGAAATAAAGTTTGTACCGAAAGAGAAATTAACATGCTGTAGATGTAATAGTGACAGTCTATAAATTTGATGAGTACAAAAGTTGACATTCACTAAATATGAATACAAGTATGAATACTCCCAAAGCTGTATTCAAATATGAATACCTTGTGTCTGGTCATGACACAAATCAATTTAGCTGAACAACTTGAAATTAATCAAAAATAATAATGTGAAATCATAATGGCAATATTGTGATTACTTGGATAATTTGAATAATTGGAAACATTAATTTAATTTAGTTGTTTATTTTTTCACATTAATCAAGTTAATCACTCAGCTCATTAGAGAGGTTTAGAAATTTTTTAGTCAGAATGTAGACATGGAAATGGTTAATGTTATATAAATATCCTGTATAAATCTCCAGTCACTTCATTACTGTTTTCAAAGACTCATCATAAGTAAATTGTTCTCTACAATTAAGTAATACTTTTTTGATAAGAAAAACTAATTGTAAAAATTAAGTATATAGTAAATACTGTAGAGTGTAATGCTGTATACATTGTAGCCTGTACTACAAATTAATAGTTTTTTCATTATATTTTCCAAAAGAAAAAAATGATTTGTGATTAATTTTGTTAAAAATACTTTCTTCATAAAGTGTCTTGTTGGCATATTAATGTTTACTGATCACCAAAACTGTATGGTCATACTTGATCATGTTATGTCACAACTTGTCCTGTATAACATGTTTTTTATTAGAATAGATAACTTTGCTTTGTAAAATTTTACTTCAAGTTTGTAAATTGTGTTTCGGTGTACATGCATTTCTCATGTAAACATTAATACGTACTGACACAGTTCAAATTTGGCAAGATTTAAATAATTACTCATTTTCTACAATTCCTGACTTTTTTAATGTATATCTTATAAAATTTGCTTTTCTTAAATTTTGAATTTTCATTTTATACAGGATCTGTATTGGAGAAAAATATTTCACATTTATTTTAGAACAATATTGTTTTCCATTAGAGTGAGATACCTGAAGGAGCTTTAGTTATTGATGTTGAAGAAGACTTGACAGAAGAGATAGATGTTGAGGAGGCTAGTAGTAACAAAACAAAATCTATCTGTAATCAGAAAGGTATATATATATACTGTTTTGAGTTTTTTTATTTTTAATGTTAGATTTCATGAAGGCACAAAAAAAGAAAAAGAAAAATGTATGAAAAAAGATGGACATGTCTTAAATATAACAGTTAAAAGCTAATTAACTAGTGTCCTGCACCAGCATCTAAATTCATTAGCGATGTGGTTAGTGATTTGTAGCTATAGGTTTTTTGCCATTTATGTTTCAATATTAATCAGGTGGAGAAAGAATACAGATAGAATTTTTTGCTTTCTGCAGTTTTATTGAGCATCTAGTTGGACTTTATTGCAGTGGTACTCAACTTGTGGAACATGCATGCCTATCGGGAGGGGGATAAACTAAAATAAATTGGTCACTTGGGCAACTAAAATTTTGGAGCGGCTGATAGTAAGGGTGAGGAAATGATCAGACTATTGGCCATATACTTTCAGACTGAGGAGAAGAGTGGCCCAAAGAACTGCTGCAAACTTAGTGGTTGTTTATAATAGTTTTGTAATATCTGCTTTTGTTATGGAACTTTTAATGTTTATAACAGATTCAAAAAATTTATTGGCAAAGCAGTTGTTTGAGGTCATACTTACTGTAATCATAAAATGACCTAAGAAACTGCACACAACACTTGTTTAGTGCAATTAGTCATTTTGAAATTAAATATACATAAAAAAATAAACCATCTTTTTGACTGTTTTAATGCTAAAGTAATTAATTTTTTCTTTATTTTGAGTATTTTTCCTTCTATACTCAATAGACTATTACATACTGCACTGTCAAACAAGCAATCAAGGTAACTCTGTTTAACTTTATTAGTATCTAAAAATAAAATAGAATGTAATGTACTTCCTTTAATATTTTGAGTTTAAGTTGAGAAAAAATATTCTTTGTTTTTTATTAATTTTTAATCTTGCATTATGAGTCAATATTTTTCTGGAAAACATCATTTGCTATATATATAGTGGAATTATATCTATAGTAAAATGATTTTATGTTTCAGAAGTGTTTACTAACCTCTGCACAACAAAGAACTATTATATTGTGCCACTGCCATGAAGATTTTTGTACATACCACAAACCTTGAATGAAGCTTCTATTCCTACATCTTTAATATTAAAAGAGCCTGTCTGTTTGTGTGTGTGTGACTGCCATAGCTCCAAGAGGAAAGAACCTAGAGACCTGAAACTTTCCATGCATACTAAGGGATTCTGAGGGTGCGCATCTGGATATTATTTTTTAGATTTGACTCAAAAGAAATTTGGCCAATTTTTGCCACATAGTTTTGCCTTATAGCCCTTAAGCCCCCTTATTCTGCTTCCATGAAGGTCTATAGAAAAATATCTTATTTTTTTCTAATTCTCACTTACTGAGTGAACAATATGTGGAGGTTTCCTGCAAATATGGGAATAAAAATACAAATCTGAGAATTAAAAAAAAAGATGAACTAAATTTGGGAAATGGCAACAAGCAACGGGAAGAAAAATATGAATCAGATAATATTGGAGAATAAAAAGAATCTAAATTAAAACCATTTGTTTTTAAAAAGAATTGAATTAAGTTGGAAAAATGGCAACAGACAAATCAATCAAAGAATTGGCAAATTGGGGTAGCTGTAGAAGTAATTAAGATAATGGATATGCTTGACTGGTACATTGAGACCTATGTGAATCATGAAGGGACCTTAGAATCTCGCAGAGGAGCATGATTATTTTATGCTAGTACATTAATATTATTGTGCCAGCCTATGATGTAATCATCATTAGATTATAGCTTTACACCAGTAGGACGCAACATGTACTCCATGTGCAGAAATCCTCATGAGCACCAGCATTTGTATCAAGGTTCATTCTTCTCTCACACCGCTTTATTCATACATGTTTCCTTAAGAATAAACATCATTTTTGTGCTTATTATCTTAAACTTTTATCACTGACAGTGTGATCTTTCTTTAATTTTCTTGGTTATGAGAAAGAAAGATGCCAGATTTGAAACATTCTAGTTCAAACTTTGAATCATATTATCTGCAGTTTGATATTTTTCTTTTAATCAAATTTGTAATTTTGTGGCATGTCCCATTGTTTGTGGTAAAGTTTCTTTAATACTAATTCCCATAGTTTTAACATGACTTACAAGCATAAAGGTCTCATTAAGTACCCTTCACTGTGATCATTAGGCCAATAAAATAGGCCTATTCACTAGACATACCACTTCAATTTTTGTTTCTTAAAAAAAATGGTTTCTTGGATATCTGGGTTATGCATTCATGTTTCCACATTTCTGAAATCACCTGAGACTTTGAAATTCCTTAACGGGAATCATCCAATTATGTATTGTGATTGAAAGCACCATTTGGTTGGTCCCATTTTAATTTTGAATCCAGATCTCTTACTTCTATTACTTCAGCTGAGCATGCCCCATTTTTCGATGTGTTTTACTAATGTTGTTTCTATGCCTGCTTTTGTTTTCTAGTTCCCTCTTCCTGGCAAGGATCAGGTAATATCATCTTCATTCTTCACTACTTGGATTACACAGATGTTTTTTATTCTCTTTCTCCAGTTAGATTTTGCTGAATTTTGAGGCTACTTTGATGCTTCCATCACTTGAACATTTTCTTTCAGCTTGGAGACCTCCAATTTTTTTCTCTTTTTCACTCTCCATCTGCACTTTGTCATCACTTGTTTACTCAGCTTCTTTGCTACCTATCCATGTTTCACCTTCATTTCATGGCTTTACTGGGGAAGCTGGTACCTACCTACCTATTTTCCACTTTGCTTTAGATTTTTTTCTTCCTTTGTGTCCCAGTTAGCTTGATTTCTTTGTTTTGAGGATTTGATTAGTTGAGATGCCTTACATTTGGGTGTTTGACTTCCTCAGTCTTATCTCAGAGACATCTGTCTGGCACCTTTCCTTCAAGACAAGCCCTTTGGAGGTGGAAACTTTAGCTGAGACTGCCTTGTCAGCAGTTTTCTCAGATTACTTTGGTTTCCTGATTTTCTCATCCACAGAAGTCTCATTGAGTTGTCCCCTCTCCTGGTTTGTCGTGGACCACGGAGATGACTAGTTTCTGGAGCTGCCCCTCAGCCTTGGTCTGGTGGAAACTCAACTCTCCCTCTTTGTTTACCTGTGAACTCCCTTTGCAGATGATCTGTGGTTCGCACAGTGCTTTCCCATGAACGTTTCCTATTCTTTTTTGCTATATTCTTCTTTCTTCTTCTTCACCAGTTGTCTTTCCACTCCTCTGGATCTCATAAACCTTCGGCACTTAAGAGAAGACTGTGGGTTATGAGCACTGTGGAACAGATCTTCAACTCCTCTTGGGGTTTTTGCTCACATCTTTTGTCATTCTCAAGAAGACAGGAGGATGACGTCTCTCCTCCTTGAACCAAATTTTGGTCATCCCTTGGTTCAAGGTGGTTGGTTTTCTCAATCTGAGGTGAGTGTTCTTTCCTGTGCTGTGGATGATCAAAGTCATTGTTTCAGATGTTTTTCTTTGCATCCTTATTTGTCTCTGTGCCCTTTGCTTTCTGAGGTTCGTCCATGATAATTGAATTTTTCAATTTTGGTCCTTCCCTTAAGTTTAGCTATGGCCTTATATGTTCTCAATTGGGTCATGAGTGTAGTTGCAAGGAGGATACATTTGTTGGGTTTCCATTTCCACTACTATATAGATGACTGGTTTTGTTCAAAGAGGATGCAACCTCCCTTCACCTTCAGAAAGTGAGGTGTCTTGTTTTGGATGACTAGTCAAGTTCTCCAAGTCTTTATTGATCCTCACTCAGTACCTGATTCACTTGAGTCTTTTATAACTTGTTTGCAGAGTAGACCCAGCTATTTCTATTATGTCTTCTTGTTATCAAAGCTCTCATGTCTCCTGCTTTCTTGCAAGAGAGGTTTGTTTGGGTATTCCGTCTTCAATCGAGCCCCCTCCCCCCCTTTTCTCTCTCAGACATGCCCACATGCATTACTTTCAGTGTATTTTGGCAGAACACTGGAATATGTTTAGTGATCCGTATTATCTCTCATGCTTTTCCCCCTATCACATCAACATTACATGGTGGTTTCATCTCTCTCATCATTCTTCAGTCTTCTTAGAGACCTTAGCAAGGTGAGTTTTAATTATTTTGTTATTGTTTTGTTCTTTTTATGGCTCTCTCATCAACATTATATATTAATATACTATATATGATGAAACCCACTAAGTGGTCAGTGATGCCTCACAGGTAATAGTACTCTTTCAAAATCTGCATTAAGCAGGAAAGTACAAAAAGTGTTAAGCCCATCTGCCCCTGCTCAGTGCCTACTGTTGAGATGTTTTTTTTTTTTACAAGACTGCTTCAGCAGTGTATATTTTCTCTTCCAAGCCATACATCATAAGAAAAATAATAATAAAAAAAGCAACAGTATCAGGTGTGTGTCTACCCTCATATATGGTTAGTGCTTATTGTTCATTTTCGCTGTAACCCATTGCACTGTCTATCAGTATGGAACTTTATGCAAATATAATGTTCCTGTTCAGTCCAAGCATCTCTCGGAGGTTCTTCCTCCATGCAACTTCCTTCCTCCTGTTTTCTTTTGGTGCAGTGAGGGAAAACCCTTGCTTCCCCATTCCAAAGCTGTTGGGGAGATTGATATGAAGAGTCCTTGGAGGGTTCAGTTTAATCCCACTGGTATGAAATCAAGTGGAGTCACTACTTGGTAGGAACCAAACCATTCCTAGTCATTAGTCCAGCCAGGTAGGTCTTTCGTTCTCCTTGTGATGCAGGTCTGGGATATGTTCTCTCTTCACCTCATTATTCTGGTAAGGATATCATTTAAGTATTTCTCAAATAAAAAATGGCCTGACTTATTGCCCTAGTCACACTACGTACTCATGCTCAACCAACTGCCTATGAGCTAATGGCTGGTTAAGCAATCTTACATTCAGCCAACGTATACGACACTTTAGAACCATCATCATTTGGAAAATATATTTTCATCTGTCACTTCCATTTGGCAAAGAGCGTTCCCTTCTTGAGGTGAATTTGGTCTCCAACCGAGTGATGCCTGACTAGCCCTCCACTCAAGTTGGTGACACATTCCAGGGGTTTTCCCTTTCTGAATATATTTTTTGAGAAATAAGCTCATCTCGTTAATTTATTTATATGCAATGCCCCTCCACCATCTTCTCAATGTGGGATTTTAGCTCTTTATTGTGCAGAAAGGTGGGTAAACATTTTAAAAGTTAACATTATCCTTACTTGAAAATGTATTTCAGATAATTACTCACTTCTTTGCACAACCTCTCATAAATCCTTCCACATACATATTTTGCCTTGTCAAGAATGAACCATTTTGTTCAAGTGCTAGTGCTCTGGGAATTACTGTGCATGGAGGGTATGTCTCTCATCTGTTGGTGGATAACTATAGTCTGATGATGATTTCATCACAGGCTGCAATACACAGTAATACATGTAGGGGTAGGATCTTTGTTTAAGGTGTGTGTGCAGAAATCTTCATGGCAGTGGCAGAAAGTAATATCCTTTTGTTGTGCAAAGAGGTAACTATCTGAAATGCATTTCAGGTAAGAAAAATGATAACTTTGTTTTTATTTGTTTTCTGCAGTTCTCTGTGTTCAACTACCTCCTAGTTACAATAAGCCTTCCAACTCACGTCCATCATCCAAATTAGTAGACACTGGTGCAACTATTAGTGAAGTACAAAACAAAAGAGACTTGAAGAGTGGTGGGGACATGCTTTCTAATTTGGATTACTCATTCAGTAAAAGCCTAACTAAAAATGAAAGGACTACAAGTTTAAGTGAAAAAACTAAAGTTTTTAATGGAAATTTTGAAGATTATCCAAAAACACAAAAGAGAAAATTATCAAGTGATGAAGAAGCCAACTCTATGGCAGACTTGGGTTTGAATAAGAGTGTTCATTCTCCTTTATCATCACCTGTTGGAAGTCCATCTCCAGGAAAGGTAAAGTACATTAGTGTTACAATTATTCTGTCTCTGCTAACATATGAGTAACTGTGTTTTCTGCCACACATATGTTGTTTAAAATATTTTAAAACTAGAACTTGTTTGAGTTTTTTTAAGAAATGTTTTAGAATTTATCTTTGTGTTCGTTGTGTATCAGATACGTTCCTGAATTAATACACTGTATCATGTGGAACTGCAGTGGTTCTGTTAAAGAAACTACTATACCACTAGATTGGAACAAAATTTCACATTTGTATTGTAAACACTTTGTTATTAAATTTTCAGTGAAAAATCAAATTTCATTTCAGAAGTTTATTACATGTGATGAGAAACTTCCCATCATTAATCTACAGAAAATACATAATGATTCACAATTTATAGCTTTCTTGTCTAAGAAATACAGAGTTCTTTCAATTGTACCACAAGCATTTAAATCTGAAATATTATTTTTACTTACCTCTAATTTTTAATCAACAAACAGACAGATTAAGATGAATGTGAAAAAAAATGCAGTTTATGTGATTTTTTATCACAGATTTTAGGTTTATTTGTTTTAATGCTTCACTAGGTTTTGGAATTTCAGTTGTTCTCAATGTCTTATACTGTGCATATAAATAGCATTTCAGAGTATCTTTTGTCTCTCATCATCCAGCCCAATTGACAAGTTCTGGTATTGAATTCTAGATGTCATGGAAAGTGATTTGTGCAAGATGTAGAAATTAAGAAGAATGTGGATAAAATATTTTTTGAAGTTTACATGATTTTTATCACAAATTTTAGACCTACTCTTCTTTTAATTTTATTCAAGAGCAAAGCATTTTATTTTCTTCTTACATGAGCCACATATTTCATAAAATGTTATCAGTTTCCTTATCAAACATAAGACATTATTTGCAGAAATATTTTAGATTTTATAGTGTATTCTTTGAAGCTTCCCTAGTTCTTAGTATTTGTAATAAAGACCACACAAAAACATTAGCCATCTCATTTAATTTTCATAGGGACTTAATAAATTGTGTTGGTAGAGTGAGCATAACTGATTCAAAAACTATGCTTTTGCTGCTTTTAGGACAGTACATTTCATTCCAACTAGTACATTTTAAATACATTTTGACAGGCTTAGCCGCTAGTGCTTCAGTTTTAATTTCCTAATTTTATAGCTTACAAATACAGCTTACTTTTCTTAGTATGCTATGTACTTGTTAAGCAGATTGCTGTTTTTTATGGTAATCTAGATAGAAGAAGCTCTAATTCCTGCAATTTAATGTTGCTAGTTGTAATAAGTTCCACTTACAGGTTCTGTCTTAAGAAAAGTTAAATTTGAAATTGTATTTTAGAAAATACAGTTTTGGTAATAAGCTGTATCTGCAATTTATTATTACAAATTTGGCTAAGCATACTTCAAGAAAACTTTGTCATCAAGTGTGGTTCTCTTTGGCAGGTTTATCCAGCAACTTTGACTTTAGTAGTTACTTGGATATGGTTCCTGTATCTCTTTTCACTGAGCTATATGTTGATCATTGTTGTTAGATATACACGACTGTTTCATTTAAATTTAATACGAGAGTTATGATTTATAGTTATAAAGCACGCGTGTTAAATTTAGTATTTTTAGAAGCAATAATTTATCACAGATTTGATTACGTAACTGTTTACGAATCATTTGTTGCGTAATTCAATTGTTGTGAATTACTGTCATATTACTTGAACCTTCTGAATTTTTCTTGTTGCTTAAAGTGAGTATTGTTACATCATAACATCTTGTATTTTGTAGAAAGTTCTATGCCTCAGTTGGGTAATATATATGTAGGCGACCAAGTTAGTACAAGTAAGTAAGTTTGTGAAAGTGAAAAAAAAGGTGAACTTAGACTGCATGATTGTGCATTTGGCCATAAAGTGCAGATAGTGACAATTTCTTAAGTGAATTTCACAGTTTGTATTGTAATAACAGAGACAGAGGAGAATAATTTGTCTTTTCAAAGGGTGTTCTAAAATAACTACTGGTGTGTACTTTGACAAAAAAAGACAATTATTTAAGGCTCTGGATACAACTGTGATAACCAATATTTTAACGAGTTTTTGTAGATATGTTTGACTTTTTTTAATATATTATTTTAAAACAAGTGGATTGTATGCAATCTGTTTATCATTGAAATTTATCACCAACAAGTCACAGACACCTATTGTAAAGAATCCTGGCCTTATAAAAACCTGACAATTGTTATATGTTCAATTCCATTTGCATACGTTTTCAGAGTAGTATATCAGAAGAACAAAATTGTAATAATTGATTGGGTATCTATGCACTACTCTGTTGCTTCAGGTAATTTAGCAGCATGATTATTCAGTGAAATAATATCTTGGCAAAAAAGTGAAATCCAAGGTAGATGAAGGTTTTTTTGCTCATTTTACACATCCTTATGTTGTATGATAATTAATATCATCTGTCTGATGACATTTTTGACATTAATGTAAAGGAAGAAAAAACTGTTTCAAGGACTCTGTTTCAAAAGATGATAAGCACTAAAGTCCTATTTAATTTCAATCTTTCCAGTTTTCATGTAAAATTATATAAGTAATCTTGTTTTGTTTTGTTTTTTGCTATCTAATGTTTGAACATTTTTTGATAGCTGAATGTTAGTTTAAGATATTTATGAATGAATATGATAAAAGCATGATTAGATTTCTTAAATTTATTGTATTTTTGTAAGATATATAATAAGTGATTTGAGCTGTTGATGTGTACTACTTCGCACTCAGCTGTTGTCAAATGCACTGGGTTAAGCATGTGAACACATTATAAGTATTATTTCTTCTCCTTGATGAGTACTGTTTATCGATTCTCTCAAATCTATAACACTTTGTCATTATTTGGATGCTTATTTTTTGCAGGCTGAATATAAATTCTTGATTCTGATTATTTATATATATTTAACTGTATCTTTGGCCTTTTTTTTGAAAATGTACATGAACTGATATAAACCCTACTGTAGCAATAATAAGACAGCCTTGTCAATGTAACATCTTATGTGAACCATTGGACTAAAATAATACTTAAAGTATTAGATGATCTGCTTGTATATGTCTGTTTCAGTAGTATCTAAATATGAGCTTATTGAATTATTATTTAGCTGTTCATTGATGGTGTCATATATGTTACTTCAGCTATTACACATGTACTAGTTTTAGTTTAATTTTTCCAATAGATTTCTCAAAGTCACAGTCAACGAGCTATCAAACATGCTTTACGGCAGCAACAAAAGAGAAGAAAAAGAAACACTGCAATTGCTGCCAGTAGTAACTCTACACCACCAATTCCACGAATTATTATGAAACCCCTTCCTCCTCCACCAAAGTCTTCAGCAAGTACGTATTAAAGATTTGAAAGCTCTTTGTATCCTATATCCTTGTTTGGTGAATGTTTTTACTACACTGTATTTTTTTCTTTTCAGTATATATAAAATTACAGTTTGTCACACAAATAAAAATGTATTTGTTTAACCATTTTTAAAAATATTCTTTGTACAGTTGCATAATGTAAAGTATAAATGTGGCAATCTTTAGAGAATTTCATTATAGTAAATGAACCTTGGTTGAAAAATGTTTGAAATATCCAAATTAGTATAATTTGGCAATAAAAACCTAGTAGTGTGGTTAACCTCATAATCATTACATGCTAGTTATTATTCATTAACGAAAACAGATATGAATATATTTATTTCTTGTAATATAAATACATTAATCCATGTTTCATATTTTTTACCTATATTAGATTTTATGAACAGTGTTGGTAGAAAGTAAACTTGGATCTCACAAGAGACACTTGTTCAGCAGTCAAATTGTTTAAAATAACTATAAATATGAAGCCCAACCTATAATTTGATTCACCACTCATCACTGGCTTATAGTTGTTTTGGGAATTCCATCTCTTATAAATAACCGTGAACAAGAGTAGATCAAAAGAACAAAGTAAAGGCTTTATTGGTGGAGTGTACATTATATGTATGGTATTTTAAGTTGTCTTTTATTCACCTCAGTGAATGTATATTTATATAGGATTTGAAAAGTATGTATCATTGATGCTACAAATCTATTCTTCTGTATCATTCATCAGACAAGCTGTATAAAATAAAGTAAATGAAAGTCTGTCATAGATTGCATAATTTGTTGGGTGGTATTAAATCAATCCACTAATTGCTTGATCAGAATGTAGTATGATGATCATACTTATAACAAAAAAGCATTATGGGTGAACAGTAACAGGGACAGCTTGTACTTTAAGGTAGCTCACTGATAGAACACTAGTCCTGTTAGCCATATTTCCTGGGTTCAAGGCATAGTCCCAGAGTCTCTCTTCACTTTTTGACTTTTTCATCTAGAAAGTTCATATTAGAAAGTGTCCTTTTATTGATTCCTAATGGGATTTATAAAAGAATATTAGAAATAAAATTGAAATTACTGAAAAGAAAAAAATGTGGCATTGTTCTGGATAATGGAAGAATGTGGTAGTTTGAGCTAGTTGTTAAAAAGTGCCTACTATAATTGATAGTGGGTTAACTCTTTAACTCGGTAAAGCACTTGTATGCAGGTCGAGAGTTTTCTGGTTCAAATCTGAGTCAAGAAAATAATAAAATTGAAGTTACTACACTGTCACTTATGGCTAACTCTAACTAAAGACAAGAGCCTTTACAAATTCAGCTAAGCTCAACTATGTGCTTCCTGTGAGAATGATGTTTGACTAGAAGCAAAATTCACAATTCTCTGTACAGAAAATATTGTAATACGATACGTCTTTTGATAGATTAAAACCTTAGCTTTCTATTGGTTATAAATAATATAGTATTAAACATCAGAGAGAACTATTAGCAATTTCTTAAAGAGAGGATGTAACAAGTGGGCATGGCAAAAGGGGTCTAATTTTCTATTTGACGGTATGTACCCGAACAAAATTGAAGGCTATAAAATTTGTTCTTTGCATGAGTGATGACTACATTATAATGAGTAATATAAATTATATTTCATACTTTTTGTAGGGGTGGTAAATAAATTAGGAAATAGGGGATACCTTGAGAACAAATGTCACAATTCTCACACTAGGGGGAAATTGGGGATTTTCTTTTTAATATTGCCTTATAAGATTAAGAACTTAAGACTTACATAATGTTGAAATTTGGATTATTAGCTATGTTTGTATGATAAGAAAGTAATTTTACATTTTGAATGTAAATCACTAAAATTTCCTGACATGCATACAAAATGATGCCCATTCTGAAAGAGTTAATACAATGCATTTCACATAATTTAAATGTGCAAATGAAAAGATCTATATATTTCAATTTTAGGGACATAATACATATTTTTCATAAATAATTAATTAAAAAGTATCACATCTATATTGTCCAAACTGGTAAGTAATAAATATGTATATTAAAAAGAAAAAATTCACAGAAGAGAAAATATTCTATTACTAAATTTCTTGAATGACTAAATTAATAATGTTTTTTATTGATGTTCAGGAATTATGAGCACAAACAGTTTGGAAGACAATCAGGACAAGGATGAAGACAGTATGTCAGACAGTGAGAAAAAAGATCTGTCATCTACATACAGTAAGCCACAAACAATGAGAGAACTCTTAGCTTCAATCCCTGGGTTAAGTTTGAAGGTTGGTTCTTTGTTATCTTAGACAAAACAGAGAAAGATATTCATTAATCCAACTTCTTTTTTATTTAGGTAGTAGTTTGAAAGTAAGTTATTCATTATGATTAATGCATGTAACTAATGTGTAATAGTATGCCTTTTCTTCTTTTTTAAAATCCATTTTCCTACAATTAGTATTTTTAATGATTTCAAGAAAGTGACAAATGATTTCACAGGTCTGGCATATCTTGGTGATTAGGGCACTCAACTTGAAATCAGAGGGTTTTGGGTTTGAATACCATCCTAGAACATGCTTGCCCCTTCAGCTGTGGGCAATTTATAATGTGATGGTTAATCCCACTATTTGTTGGTGGTAAGTGGTGTTGGCTAGCTGCTTTCCCTATAGTCATGTATTTCAAATTAGAGATGATTAGTGCAGATAGCCCTAAAGTAGCTTTCCACAAAATTCAAAACAAACATGATTTCACAAATGTTTTTTAAATGATTGATACATAATATTTTCATCACCAAGTTGTGATAGAAAAAAAACTTGATTTTACCAAGTGATATGTAATAATTTTATATCTATTTTACATGAGAAAGTAAAATCCAATGTCTCTGTTTCTTTAAACAAAACAATCAGCCATTGATTTGTAATAGTTCAGAATTGCTAGTGAGCGTGGTGTTTTCTAAAAGCAGATTATTTAAGAGGGATGAACTGATCACAAATATAGATCAAGTCTTGTACTTTTTTTCATTTATCAGAGATTAGTTATGCAAGCAGCTGCATGTAGGGATATACTGCTGAACAGAATAGTAAGAACATAGTTGGTAGCATCCAGCATTTCTTCTCTTCTTCTTCTTCTCTCTCTCTCTCTTTTTTTGTCAATGATTCAAAATAGTCTCTTTCCCAGTTTGACTTAAACTCCTTTATTAATTATTTTTGGTTACCTTTGAATGATTTTCTGTAATTTTTACATTTATATTTGAACAGTTTGTGTAATGTTTTTTTATCAAATCTTTGGGTCTCCAGAGAAAACTTTGTGATAACTCGTGTATATGTGTTCACTACAGCTTAATTTTGAATCTGCAAATGTTGGGAGATATTTTTTAGATTTTGAGTACAGTTAACATTTAACTTCATTAAAAATACAGAAAAAGTACTAGGTTGTAGATGTACATTTTGATACAGTTCCAATGCTAATACTATTCCTGAATTAAGTGTAAGTTTCACAAGTTTACCATAAGCTGGTGTTGTAGTATTCACTGGTTTATAAGTTTAATACTATCTCTCATATACTAATGAACCTACTGTTAAGTATGTTTATTTCATGTTCTGAAACAGATGGAAAGCCTAATTACTACATGTGGTAGTCAGAAATAAATACTTTTAGGTGAGAGGGTGCCCAACTGATGAAACAATGTATTCTAATCATTATAAGTTGTATTAATTATTGGGGGAATTTTTACTTCTTGTGTTTGCTTGATTTGATCAGATGTTAATTAGAAATAACTGATTCACATTTAGATATTACTTAATCTTTGTAACTTCTTTTAATAATGAAATATAGTCTTTTTAACATTTCTATCTTTTCCTAAAGCATTAAACAAATATATCTGAATTTTCTTTGTCAATTTTCACAACAAGCAAAGAAAAATATTTGCCCAAAGACCCATGTGTTTTTAATTCTCAGCATGATTACTTGTTTGTATCTTGTATAAAGTAGGTTCTTACAGACTTCTGATCTTTCTATTTTAATCTTGCATTTTTTCATAGCCAAGAAAACGCTCCAACAAGAAACTAAGTACAGGTAAGTTGAGCTGGTATTGTAAAAAATTTATAAAGTAGGTGTAATGAAATTTGGAAACTTGTGGGAAATCATAAAAAGCTTATTTTTTAGTTTTAATAGAAATCATTATTATCAGTCCATTTGAAACAAAACTGAAAAAAAATTGATGTCAAGTTTAGCTTGTTAGTCATAGTTAAACATTTTTTGTTTGATGAGGTGTGAAAATATTTCCTGCCAGCTATCTTTAAGATCATATATGTATTGAAGCTCACAGGTGTTAGTGCAGTAAGGAATTGATGTTGTGATGTTTGTAGGCTGGTCTTTAAGTTACTTTAGCATTTTTGTGTTACATTTTGTGCTACTGTATTTGCTACATGTCTGTATAAGAATGAGTAGTTTCACTTAGTCTATGGGTGTGGCATCGTGACTAGCATGCTTGGACTGTGAATCTGAGAGTACCTGTTTCCAAGTCTGTCACTTGAAAATGCACTTTGCAATTTGGGGGTTATGGGTACATTGTAAAAGTGACAATCAAATTGCACTGTTAAGTCAGACAAGAGTAGCCCAAGAGTTGGCAGCAGGTGATGTTGACTAACTGGCCTCTCTTCAAGTCTTTTAGTTAAAATTAAGGACCCAAGAGTTGGCAGTAGGTGATGTTGACTAACTAGGCTCCCTCCAAATCTTTTAGTTAAAATTAAGCACAACTGTGCACATGTAGCCCTTTGTGAAATATGACATTTGCCTGTAAGAATGTAATATCCTTTTTAAGCTTGTTTTAACCTATCATTTCAAGTTATATTTGTGTAAATCATGTCATATGGTTCATTCCACAAGCTATAAAATTAGCTGAAACATATTTGTGCCTTCTTAATTTTCATGTATACTATTTTAAACACATTTTTTTCAAATTGTTATTGATCATCTGAGTGGCACTTTTGAAGTGTTCTAACCAATTAAGTTACTAGGTACAATTACTTCTGTAAATTATGCTTGTATTTAACAGTACTAAGGAAAGAATCTTTATGCATGGCCAGCAAACATCAAAGTAATGATTGCAAGCATAGGTATAGATTTTGATCTGATCTAAGAAATTAGTCTCAGTTACTTATGTTTGATTGTCTACAACAGTCATCTCCTTGCACATTGGGGGATTTTGCTCTCAGTGTAGACCTGTCCTAACTGTTGTGCTACTGATGGTGTAAAGTCCTGATGTAGGCTAGTATATACGTAAATATATGTATATTTTTTTACCCCTTGGATAAAAGTAATTCTATGAAATCTCAACACTAATGTCATTTGCTTGTAGTTTATCAGATTTCTAACCTGTAAGAAAATATCTGCAAGAAGAACACTAGTTAAATGGCCGTGATGATTTTTTTATATCAAATTACAATTTTTAGTACCTTTATAATACAATATTCATAACAGATTGAAAGTTTCAAAAAGTTATTAAATACGATTTCCAGCTACAGAACTTATGTTTTCATCTTTTCCACAACAAAATGCAGAGTGAACTGTTGTTGTACCTGTTTAATATCATGTAAGTACAAGAACACTGACACTAAAAGTTGGTGGGAAATACTTTAAAAATATACACATCATACTTACCTTATTTTCACATAATTAACCCTTTCCAGACAATAAGTTTGGTATCAAACTGTAGATTATAATTCAAATTTTAGTATTAAACATTATTCAATTTCTTATTTTAAAAGTAAATATTACAAAACAATTAAACATCAATTTTTGTGTGTCACGTGGTATATTGAATTCAGAACTGGTTCAGATTAGATGTTTGTGATGTCAAAATACAAAGTCTACAGTTTCGTACGAATTACGAACTTAAATTACCGATATTGAAAAGCTAGAATTTAAAATAAGAACCTCATATCTTTTCTATTTGCTGAGATATCACTCATGTGAATCAAACACAGTAATCCCACTCACCTCTTATCATTTTTGGAAACAGTCCCTTATATACACTTACTTCAATATATAACGTATGAATAACCAATAGAAAGCTCAGAATGTCCCCGTGGTGGCTTTCTCAGCCATTTTCATGTGTTAGGGTGCCATCTTGTTCTTTCGAACCAAGATTTCAAGGAGGTAGGTTGTGTCTTTAGTCTGCTCGAAATTTCGTATTTCTTTAGACCCAAATACAGCTTAGTTACTAAGCTTGATAAGTTATAGTAGAATTCTATGGTACTGATGTAGTAATTTATGATTTTTTGGTCATTGAACTGTATATATACAACCTAAAAAATATTATTTCATTTCATATCCTCCACGTGCGAAATTTTAAGAGGCTTAGCAACCAAAGTCAAGCATCAACTGAGTACAAAGGTTGTAGCTAGAAGAGATAATTGTTTGCTTTACTTCTTTATTTACCGTTATATGTTTTAAGAAAAATATGTTTAAGAACTTATTTCTAAATAGTAATTATCTATATACGTATATTACATATAATAATTGAAATGTGACTGTATTTTACAAAATACTAGTCTACTAAAACATCAGCCATTTTATGTTTTGCTATTCACGAAATTCTAAAATGTTCAGTTATTTTTCAATACAGAAGTACTTATTTTAATATAATAATAAATTTGCAAACAATGATTTATGAGTATAATGAAGAAAATTTTTGTTTGCCAATTTATTATGTTCAGCTGTGCATAAGTTAAGAGATTTGTCTTAAAACAATTTTATAAACAAGTATAGATCTCATGGACAGTTTTTATTGAAAATATAAATTGTTTTAGTTGTAATTCTCTTGTTGATTCTCATTAAATTGTATTTTCTCTTTTTTTTTTACAGCTGCCCAAATTGCTCAAACCAAGAAAGGGTGCATAGATGTGGAAACTCCAGATTCAATACTAGTTAACATCAATTTGAAAGCATTAATTAACAAACATACTTTTGCAAGCCTACCTTCACTTTACCAGTATCGTTTGGTCCAACTTCTACCTTCAGTAGACCGAGTAATTGGTCCAGATTACTCAGTTAGGTTGAGTGCATCTGCTCTTAGCAATGAGTTCTTTGCCAGAGCTTGTCAGGACTGGCAAAAAAGACTTGCAGAAGGAGAGTTCACTCCTGAAAATCAGCAGAAAATGAAAGCTGAGGTAGAGAAAGAAAAGGGAAAGCTAGATCCTTGGAAGGTAATTATTTCATTGCTTATTTTTGTGTGTTCTAAAGGTTATAGTCCTTCTTCTCTAAACAAAGCACAGTATACTAGTAATATGCTCACTGTCTAATGTACCTCACAGGTGAAGTACAAATGCTTGTAAGAACAATGTTAGAAATAATTGTATTGCAAGAATTTTATATAAATGATATTTGAAATCTCTTTCCCCCTCCCTCATTATTACCAGTTGCTTGGAGAGGCACTTATGAGAAGTGTATTTATAAATGTATATACATTAGTAAATTGTATAGCAGCATGAAATCAAGATATAATGATCTGCATATTCACATACAAAATACTAGTATATCATAAAATTTGTTTCCTTTTGTATTTTCTGTGATAAAGTATGTTTATTGCTTTTGTATTTCTGTTATTATTTCCAGTATTCTACAAATATATATCATTAGAAAGTGTGTAAGGAACTGTACTTGTTTGGGTGATGCTTCTTGTATCTTCTTTTACACAACATCGTAATGAATGAACAAAAAAAACTTTATACACCTATGTTTTGGAAAATCTGAAATTTTTGTTTCAGTTTTGTTGTCCAAAGATACAGGAAGGCCTACTTTAAAAAAAAATTGTTTTATTTTTCTTATCTGATGAATTCCATCCCTCCACCAAATCCTGATTTAATCCTGGAGAAGACCATATTCGGTTAAAACATTTTTGTTTCCCTGTTGGTTTAAAAACAAGAATGGCTACATACTGACTAATAAATTTTTCAAAGTAAACAAAAATTAGGAACAGTTAATCATTTTAACTTTGAAATCTTTATGTTTATAATTTTTTTACGAAATATTAATAAATATATATTTGTGTGTGTGTGTGTATACATAGACACACACACACACACATACTTTTTTAAAATGTTCGTTATAATTTTTGTTTCTGGCCAGAAAGTACCAAAAATACTTAGAAATTTTCACACTAGAAGACCATAAAAGAGAATAAACAGAAACTCAAGTACATTTATTTATTAAAAGAATTTAATTACTTAAAGTTTTGTTGAGTGTCATTTTGGATCAAATTTTGTTTAAGGCTGATTAGTTTTCAAAGGCACACTTCATAGTATGTTTAGTATACTAGAGGTACTTTCTGCAGGGTCCCTGAAAGTGTTTTGTTTCAAAAATAAGTAAAACCAAAATTAAAAGTAACAAATATTTTTATTTCTTGCTTTTGAAGTTCATATGTCATTCTATGTTGTAGCCTACAGAGGGCATAATTCTTCTCATGGTTCATGGCACGTGCACATTTTACTCAAGTCACAATAGTACAAATTGCAATGTTAAGCATCCCTTATATGACATAATTTTAGTGTTTACTGACAGACAATACACTACTGTATAATCGTGCAAATGGTTAAAACAGGGGCTTCAGCCCTCTTTTGGGGATATTATTTGTCTTTTAGTTACATTTAACATAATTATATTTCAATTAGAATAGTAACATTCTTCCTAATTAATGTGTGATTCTGTTATTCTTATTATTTGTCATCTTGTATCTTCATAGACATTAGTTTTTTTCTGTACTATCTGTACGTTCCTGCTAGCTGATGCTATAGCTAAATAAGTAACAGGTCATAGTAATTTATCTCCAGTCATCCTACTTTAAACTTACACTGTCTGAGCCACTTAAGGGGCTTTCATTGTTAGGGAGGATTGTGTCAAGTTTTGTATATATATATATGGATGTGAAATTCATCAAGGAATGTCAAAGTTGTGCTAGTACATGTAGGAAAACAATAATCTATACGTATTTCATAAGTATACTCCATTTTTTAATGATACTCTCATTAACAGCATTGGTTACACTTTTAACATAACTACTTTTATTATTTTTAATTTAATTATTATATAAAACTGTTTTGCATTTTTAGCTTCTTATATGGATTAAGGACTAAAACTAAATCTCTTAACTCTTTCAGCACGATCTCTGTCCCTGGGACTTACCTTGTAATCATTTTGTGCTTATTAGAGTTTTCTTGCTATAACTTTTAAATTAGTTAGCATATGTTAACAAAATTTGACAGAATACCAGTAAACATTACAATGCTTTCATTCGCAAAATATCAAATTATTTTATTCAGTCCTAAGGCATGTTAAGCAATGTTTTTCTCGTGCCTTGTTTGTTTTTTTTCGCATGTTGCCTATCCAAAATGAAAAGTAATTAAAAATACTTTTATGATTCAGAAAATTTTCAAATTTCACATGCAAAATCTTTATAATGTCCAGATACTTGTCAAACATTTATTAAGAAAAAACTTTATATTTTATCTATTATTTTCTGTAATGAATCTCTATACAGGTTCAATAGATTTGACAGATCTTGTAAGCACCATAAAAAATGAGGAAATATATATATAAATTATGCCTGTTTCATTCTAGAATGACAACAGATTATAACACAAAAACATAAATGTTTAGACTAAATAGCTTAAATCTCATAACCTTGAACATTTATGTATATTTTTTTATTATATTGACCTTTCAGCCATGCCTGGCTAACAGTACAGAAGTTACAATGATGCAGCACATGTGCTTTCATGTTGCCGTATCCAATAATATAAAACTGACCTTTAGTCTTTACAAAGTGATCTGTCTTGGCTGTGTTTTAGTAGACTAGTATTTTGTAAAATACAGTCATATTTCCATTATTATATATGTATATAGATTATTACTACAGTGAAACCCTGATTTAATGCGAATTTGGATATAACGCGATAGGTCATTAACTCTTTCGACACGGGCTCGGTCTCTGAGAC